CTCTATATACAGCAGGTCCTCTGATAATATTGTTTCATTCTATATTGTTTAGTTTTTGTTTGTTTGTTTGCTGAGATGGAGTCTCCAGCCTGGGCTGGAGTGCAATGGCGCGATCTTGGCTCACTGCAATCTCCGCCTCCCAGATTCAAGTGATTCTCCTGCCTCAGCCTCCCAAATAGCTGAGACTACAGGTGCCTGCCACCATGCCTGGCTAATTTTTTGTGTTTTTAGTAGAGATGGGGTTTCACTATGTTGGTCAGGCTGATCTTGAACGCCTGACCTCGTAATCCACCTGCTTTGGTCTCCCAAAATGCTGGGATTACTGGCGTGAGCCATCATGTCCTGCCCAAATTGTTTAGTTTTAATAAGAAAAATCCATTCCAGGCTGGGGCTACCGTTTGTGTGAAGTGTGCACGCCCTCCCCATGTCTGTGTGGGTTTTCTCTAGGTATTCCAATTTCCTCCCACATCTCAAAGATGTGCATGTCAGGTTCCTTGGTGTGTCTAGATGGTGCCGTTCAGAGTGAGTGTGGCAGTGTGTGTGATCATGTCCCACGATGGGCTGATGTTCTGTTCAAGGCTAGTTCCTTCTTTGTGCCCTGAACCTGTTTTATAATTTGTCAGTCAGAAGCATAGGATACAACCTGGGGCCGGTGACTGGCATCTGAAGCAGCAGGCAGTCTTGTGGGATGGAGCCCTTAACCTGTGGATCTGATAGCTGCCTCCAGGTAGATAGTATCAGAACTGAGTTAAATTGTAGGACACCCAGCTGGTGTGTATTGGAGAGCTGATTACTTGCTGTGTGGAGGGGGAAAAAAACCTTCAAACGTTTGGTGTCAAAAGTGTTGTACTGAGTGCATGATGGTAAGAAAACACCTTGGTTTTTTTCCTATCTCTCAGAGGCAGTATGCCCCCGCAAAGTCTGTAACACCAGACCAGAGAGAGGCTTCTCTAACTGAGAACTGTTTGGGAAGCTCTGCAAACTAAGGCTCCCTCTTGGCTATGAATAATTCAGATGATTTTATTAGAAGATCTGAAAAGTCCACCTATATACCTTGTTTAACTTTATAAGATCATAAATTTCTTTTAAAAAGTAATATCCATTAATTCACTAAGGAAAGAAAGTTGAAGAAATACAGCTTAAAAACAAAGCTCCCCTTCCCCCATCCTTTCTCTTACCCTAAAGGCTCAGGAGAAGCTCAAAGAGAAATTATTGTTCACTTGTTAGTTTTTCCATCCTTTCAATAGAAAATGTCTCCAAACTCCTTTGATATTCCGTGGCTAATTTTATGGCTGGTCCTAAGATAATAAGCTGCTAGACTTACACTGAGATCCGCTTAGCACACTTAACACTTCCTGATGACAGAAGACCTCTTTGAAAATCTCTTGAAGTCTTTGCAGAGTTTTCTAAACATGACCAGGAGGCCAATCATGAGCGGGGAGTGAGACGTTTTGCAGCAAAATAGTCAACATACATAAACTAAGTTCAACACCAATTCTTTGACTTGAATAATGTTTTATCGCCCCAGCCTTTTTGTCAAGTTATCCCCGACTCAGACTTCATCTGGAAGCTCATGAGCAGCCTTGCTGCACTGGTAAAGTCAGGTTCTCATGGACTAATGGTGCTGTTGCTTGATGTGATTGTCCTTTGAAACTTCTGATTATGCCTTGAGTCGCCTCCTTTCTATCACTTGATCCCATTCTTTTCAGAGCAAGATATTTTAACTTCTGTATTTAGAGCCTTTAAAATAGATTGAGCGAAGAAATCGAAGCAATCTTCAGGGCTAAGAAACCAGCGGCACTTGCCAGAGCTGGGTGTCCACACCGTGGTGGTGGCTGGTAAGTCAGCCATGATGAATCCCAGCAGAGGGCAGGAAAAAGAGTCCTGAATCAGAGGACCCAGGTCTCAGTTTTGACTTGGCCACTAGGCAGCTCTATCAAATTTAAATAGCCATGAAAAAAAAAAAAAAGCCACGTGCTCCTGTTGGGCTTCAGTCCCTTCATATGTAAAATATGACAACTGGACAAGACGATAGAGCATGTATTTTGCAGCAATAGCTCTCGACTTTTCTCTGTATTGGACTCACTTGGAGAGAGTTTTAAATCCCCACGATCTTGGCTACATCCAGAATGTCTGAGGGCAAAACCTAGGCATTAGTGCTTTCAAAACTCCCCAATGTTGAGAACTATTGCCTCTGAAGACCTTAAGATCTGAATTTTATACTCTGTCTTTAAAAAGTGATAACTCATCGTGTTTGAGGGTCATATCTTCCAATGGCTAAATATGGTAGGAAAAGTAGGCAGATAATTTGAAGCATAGATTCTTATTTTGGGCTTCAAAATCTTTTCCTTGTGGAAAAATGAATGTTTTGGAAATAAATTACCCTGTATCACAGGTTTCGGATTCTTTTTCTAATCCACCATTCTGGAAAGGCAGTTTTAGTTCAGGCAAGAGTCAGCTGGCCACACTGAATTCAGGACCCATATTGACAGCTCTGGTTTCCTTGGTTGAATATTTCCTTACTGTCTCATATCCCTGCCCTTGCTAATGTGAGTCTTTGTGCTAACATTTTGATGCACTCTATGTCTAGAACTGTGTAACAGTCATCTGAAATCTTTATACCTTAAGCACCTACAAACTATCTTCATTCTTTTAAGAAGTCTCTGTACTCCATTCATAGAAAATTTGAATTTGGAAGATCATTACCCCTAGCTTTCTAAGAATAGTTGAATCAAAGAAGAAAATATTTGGTGAAATTCATACAATATTAAAATCAAACGCCACCTTTCCAGAATGCTGGATTAGAAAAAGAACTTGAAACCTGGAATATAGGGCAATTAACTTTTAAAACATTAATTTTAATAATGATTTAAAAAAATGAGCTAAATCTAGAGAAAATCTGGCTTATATCTCCAGAGAAGGAAGGCAACGTTATTCAATATTTAGGCTTCATATTTTCTCCCTGAGATGCATATTTTGGGTTGGGTACACTTCTCCCTAATGTACTTTGACCTTTGATATTGCTGCCCTTGAGCTGACCCCTACAGAATGTATGCTCAGTGTGGGCAGGGAGCACATGGCTCCTATTCATCTTTGTTTCTTTGTTTTCCCAGCAAATAGCACAGGCCCTGGTACATTGTAAGTGTCTAATAAGTATGTGGAAAAGTAGAAGAAAGATTGTAAGAGGTTAGTATCATAAAGTTAAGATGGAATGAGGGTCCTTCCAATTCTGTAAATAAACTAGAGAGGTAAGTATCACTTTATTGAGTCTTTTTGGACTTCGCCTATAATTATCGATTTTAAAAAATAATGGAAATGAACCATTATAACTCCACAACCAGACAATTGAGAGAATGGTACCATCACTCTTCATTTCATAAAGGCTGGTAGGAAGCACAAAAGTCGGCAAAGGGTGAGGCTTTACTTCAAACAGAACTCAGGGAGCCTTGCCTCAGCATAATGACTTCAAACACGTGTTTACCATTTACCATTTCAAAATGGAATTGTTCCAGAACCTATTCCCTAACCCCTAAACCAGAATGTCAACCCAAATCACTTAATCTACATGCGTGTTCTTCTCCATCCAGAGCCACTGCATAGGGTTCCACAGCTTATTGACCTCATCCTTGCTTCTTTTTTTTTTTCTTTTTTTATGGCATTTTAGGTTTTGGGGTACATGTGAAGAACATGCAAGATTGTTGCATAGGTACACACATGGCAGTGTGGTTTGCTGCCTTCCGTCCCCTCACCTGTATCTGACATTTCTCCCCACGCTATCTCTTCCCACCTCCCCACCCCCCGCCCCTCCCCCATTTCCCCCCAACGGACCCCAGTGTCTGGATAGGGAAAATGTGGTACATATACACCATGGAATATTACGCAGCCATCAAAAACAATGAGTTCACGTCCTTTGTAGGGACATGGATGAACCTGGAAACCATCATTCTCAGCAAACTGACACAAGAGCAGAAAATCAAACACCGTATATTCTCACTCATAGGCGGGTGTTGAACAATGAGAACACATGGACACAGGGAGGGGAGCACTACACCCTTGCTTCTTAAAGTGTGTCCTATAAACAGCAGTGTCGGCGTCAGCTGGAAATTTGTTAGAAATACAGAATCCTGAGGCCAAATCCAGAATGACGGATTCAGAGTATGTATTTTAATAACACCCCTCAGATGGTCTGCATGCCCAGGAAAGTTTGAGAAGCCCTGTACACAACAGATTTTGAGTCATAATAAGGCCTTCAGATTTTGCAGGGATCATTTCTGGAATATAAAATTACTATATATGAAATTACTATGTATGAAAAATTGCTATGTAAAGTACTATGTACTTTTAACATTTCACATAGTAATTTTATATTTAAAGTGAAAAAATAATCAATTTACAAAAATGAATACATAACAAGACACTGCCAAAAATGAGCAGGTAAATTTGAAAAAACAACAAACAGAAAAAATATATCATTTGTAAAGAAATACTCAAAAAGTGTTATCAAACACATCAAACACAAAGTCCATTGTTTGCTGTTTCAGCTGCTCCCAGCACTATTTATTTTTTGAAAAGGCAAAAGTTGGATATGATTTTTCAGCTATTTCTGAGTGAATCAAATATAAACCGACATCTTTCCCAAAAACATGTTCAGAAAGGACTGAAAGAGGAAACACCTTATTTTCTGAACAGCTTTGGACTTCATTAAAGATACCTTTTACTTCATGTACATAATAGATGAACATTTACACACACACACACACACACACAGACACACACACATCAGGGATAAAAGCTTTGGGACTTAATGATTGGAGCCAGTGTTAAGTGTCCACTAAAGTGGGCCCCTGCCAAGCTCCTTGACCGCATTTCCATGTTGGTCACACAAACTCTGGGTGGAAGATGCTCTGATAGAACCTATCTCTCAGCGGAATTCTGCCCCATAGGATGGTTCTTCTTAGGGTGAGAGGAAGTGACAGTTTTTACGGCTACCCTTGACTTACACAGCATCCAGCTTTGTCCCATTGAAAGCGTGTCCTTGGATTGAAGTGAAGCCATTGTTGTATAGCTTCCTACAACCAACAGAGAGAAGAGAAATCAGTGACTGGTGAGCAGTGGTGCTGGCCTGTTTCTGAAGAGCTGGGCTTTAGTTCTTCAGTGTCATAAATGTGCATAAAGGTTTTTCAGGTCCCACATATATACCCCACAAGAAAACTTTCCCATATAACTTGTTGGAAACAAGTAAGATAACATTTCTCAGTTTGAATGCTCATTCTCCTGACCTAGCTCCTAGTACATTTAATTTGTTTCTCAGAATCATATTTACTTTGAGTAACAAAGCTCATTGCCATTAAAAATTTTAAAAGAATATTTCACATACATTCAGAAAAAGGGATTTCAGGTGATAGTTAACCCAATATCAATAGTGGAGAAGCAACATCAGTCTCTTAAGATAAACATTTTGAAGACATTCGTCTAAATGCATATGTTTTTAATTTTTCTATTAATATTTAAAATATTATTTCATATTTGCATTGTATTCATCTTTTTGTCCTCTGAGCTTATCATGGATTAAATGTTTAAGGGTTATGGGCTGAATTAGATTAAACCTTATAAATGAATCTAAGAAAGCAGATAGACCATGACCTCTTATAGATTTTTTTGGTTTTGTTTTTGAGACAGGGTCTCTCGCTCTGTCACCCAGGCTGGAGTGCAGTGGCTCAATCACGGCTCACTGCATACTCAAATCCCTGGGCTTAAGCAATCCTCCCACCGCAGCCTCTCAAACAGCTGGGACTACAGGTGTGTGCCTGGCTAATTTTTGTACTTTTTGTAGAGATGAGGTTTCGCCACATTCCCCAGGCTAGTCTCGAACTCCTGGGCTCAAGTGATCAGCCTGCCTCAGCCTCTCAAAGTGCTGGGGATTACAGATATAAGCCACTGGTCTGGAAGTTTTGATTTTAATGTTTTTTAACTTCTTGCTATGTTTCTGTGACTAATTAATTCATACAATGATTCAGGGAGCCAGTCTGAAATGTTATTACTTCCATTTCCCGTTGAAGTTACTGAGACATAAAGGTGACTTGTCAAAAACACAGTGGTCTAGGACTGTTGAGACTCAGAATCCCCAACCTCAAATATGATTTTTTTTTTTTTTGAGATGGAGTCTGGCACTGTTGCCTAGGCTGGAGTGCAGTGGCATGATCTCTACTCACTGCAACCTTTGCTCCTGGATTCAAGTGATTCTCCTGCTTCAGCCTCTTGAGTAGCTTGAGATTACAGGTGCCTGTCACCACACCTGGCTAATTTTTATATTATTTAGTAGAGACAGGGTTTCACCATGTAGGCCAGGCTGGTCTCAAACTCTTGACCTCAGGTGACCTGCCTGCCTTGGCTTCTCACAGTGTTGGGATTACAGGAATGAGCCACTGTGCCTGGCTGACCTCAAATATAATTATTTCCACCTACAAAAAGCAGCACCCCTTTCTGCAGGAGATGGGCCCCAGCCTTGGGATCTCTGAGCTATATGGGAATGCATAGAGGTTATTGTTGGTTATTGGGATGAAAATAAGAGAAGACAGCTATGATCACACTCAGGCACTGCTAGTGGGAACTCTTAGTGGCAGTTGTAAGAGAACTTTGAAAACTACAGTAATCTACCACATGCGAACTTTGGGAACACATTAAGAAGCATACAGGAAAGTTCAAATTTGGAATTAGATCTGCCTCTGCTACTTAATAGTTGGATGATCCTGAGAATTTCTCAACCTGTCTTATCCTCAGTTTCTTTATTTCTAAAAATATAAGTACATAAATGTAATACGCAATAAAAAGTTTGCTGAGAGGATCAAATAACTATATATTTAACAAAGTAAGGAACACTTATGAGATGACCATGTTAAAAAGAGTTGATGTGGCCTGTAATCTCAGCTACTTGGGAGGCTGAGGCAGAAGAATTGCTTGAACCTAGGAGGTGGAGGTTGTAGTGAACCAAGATCACACCGTTGCACTCTAACTCTGGGTGATAGAGCAAGACTCTATCTCAGAAAAACAAATAAATAAATAAATAAAGTATCCTAAAACTTGAATTTATCCTATATAGTTGTGGAAAACTGAGAAAGATTCTCACAGCTTTGTTGTTGTTGTTGATGTGTTTATTTTTGTTTAGTCTTAAATAATTACATAGTGAGTTTAATTACAGCTACTAACATGTCCTGGGTGAGGATTGCTGTATCCCAGGAATATAAGCACAATGGCTGAGAAAACTACGGTAAATTAATTTTTTCTGAGCTAGAACTCTTTTATGACAGTGCAAGAATTGTTTCGGCATTTTTGTTTTTCTAGATTTGTTGAGAGTCCTGGACATTAAAAATACTTGTTTGAGTTGCATTTCAGATATTAAATAGAGGTCTTAATGAACAATTTGGCCTTGAAAAGGGAATCTGGTGAAGAAAGATCAAAGAATTACAAACTTTTATTGAAACTTTCTTCTACCAGGAATACAGGTACAAAGTCAGCTGTTGGAACATGCATTGTTTCATGTTGATAGTTTTTTGAGCCTGAGCTTCAAAGAAGCAAGGACTTTTGCAGAAATGTAGAAATAATCATCTGAAAGGATCATGAATAATCTACACCATCCTCTCCTCTACATTTTAGGAAATATGGGCTTCCTTCACTCAGATGTTTATAGAATGCATGCTGGGCTCCATGCTTGATGTGGGATAATGAGCTTTCACTTGAGAGTGGTACTTGAGATATGGGGTTTTTAGAAAAATGGTGTCAAGAGATAGTAAAGAAGTTTAGCATGTAGAAGTTTCATTATGATGAGCACTGTAGGGCACAATGGAAAGCTTTACTGAAGAAGTAAATGTCTTTGAGGTTTGAGGCTAAGCAGCCTAAGAGCCTGGGTCTTTTATGCATGATAGGAAGAAATTGTGATCGAGAAGGAGCCTCCTTTTTCTTTAAAAGAGACCTCTCACCATGTCGTGATGAGAAGGATCAGCTGAAATGCTCTATTGCTCCCAGAAGTTGAGGTAACTTCATTGGGCCCAAATTGATAAACTAGGAAGGGCTCAGAAGATAGTCCCTTAGAAAAACTGTGTGAAGCTTGGATCCATGTTTCTGGGGAGTAATTTCATCAGGTTTGTATCTGTGAAGAGCTCCCCACCCCAACTTTAGTGTGAGCAGAGAAATGAAACTGGGGTGACAATCCAGGAAAAAACTTCATCAGGCTTGAACTTGGGCAGTGGTCCTGAAAATAGAGAGGAGATCCTGCAGAGGTAGCTCCAACTCTACTTTATGGCTTATACAATAAGAGAGGAATTTTCTAACAGCTTAGAGAATTAACTTATCCTTTATACCTCTATTAGATCTCCATTAGAACATTTTTGTGAATATCACTAATTAAGCATCTACTTTTGACCATCTAAAAAGCATTACCACCATTCAAGCTCTGGAAAAATGCTGACCTCTAGCAGCACTGTGCTTTCTACTTAATATCCCCTTACAGGAGCTTAAAAACAGTGTGTGATTACTGAGGAAAAGTGTGAGTGCAGAATTTATAAAGCCCTTAGCACCACTTTTTAAACTCAGTGATCTTGGGAAAGTCACTTCAATTTGCTTAAACCCCAGTTCTTCTTCTGTAAAATGGGGATACTTGGATACAGATGATTATTTCATAATAATAATTGCAGGCCAAATCTAGTCCACTCCCTGTTTCTATAAATAAAGTTTTATTGGAACACAGACATGCTCATTAGTGTATATACTGAGTATGGCTGTTTTTGCCATACAATGCCAGAATTGACCTGTTCCTACAGAGGTTGCATGGTTTGTAATGCCTACCCAGTCTTTTATGTGAAAAATGTTACTAACCACACTGCCATAATAGAATCCTCTTATCTTGTTTCCTAAACACTTTTGTAGTCTACAGAGTAACATCCCATAAGACAATACTCTAATTATGTAAAACACATTGTACTCTATAGAGTATATATGGTAGGATAGTATGGCTCTTGGACGGTCTGTATACATATGAAAATGACTCAGAGTAGAATTTAGTTGCTGGAGGGAGTAGAACTGGTAATACTCACAGTGTCAAAGTTTCATTGCATAGTCCCTGAAAAGCATTCACAGGGATTGATGTCAAGTAAGGGTTGTCTGTGATTTCACTGCAAGAGAGAGGGACAAAAACACTTAATGAAAAAAATGCTTCCTTCTGGAACAGGGATCTTGCTGCACATATGCACTTTAATAAATAACAGACACAATATAGATTAATCTTACTTCTTGTTGAGTTTTACTGACCCTTCTTAACCACTAGTGGCTCAGAGGTCTGGTGAGGTGGTGAGAGCTGTCTTAGATGACATGTACCTAGAGTCCAAGTGTGGGGTAAGCGAGAGAGCTTTAGGTGGGGCAGAGGTCCCTGACTTAATCCTCATCTCGAGGGAGGCAGACGGATCTCAGAGGCTTCTCTTGAATCTGCAACCCTTTGTCCATAACAACTAGCGTTTTCTACATGCATGGACCTTTAAGAAGGTCAGAATAAAAGGATTAATAGATTCCATTTAATGAGTATTTCTAAAATGCCTTTCACTTGCCAAACTTTGCCAGGCTCCTGGAGAACCTTTCTATATCATTCTAGTTCCTGGAAGACTGCTTATATTTTGAACTGAGCTCTTTTGCAGCAAAGAAGTATGATCAATTTTTTTTTCTAGCAAACCCTAAGAGTTTGAAGCTTATCATTCTATCTTTTACTGATTCTTTAATGCAAACTCAACTTGTAATTCTATCTGCTGTATGTCCTTTCATTCATATACAATTAGGTAAGACAACTGACTCCTGTCACAAGTTTTGAAAAAGAGCACATGGCTGCCAATCAGAGGTCACAGGCAGTAATTTGAGTACCACTCATGACTGTTCCTTGAGACACTGCTAAGACAAAATCACTTGAGGTTTCTATTCCTCAGTTTCCTCATTCATAAATGGAAGAGGAATAACTTTGTTTTATACCTTATAGGGTGGCTGAGAGGAGCAAATGTCATGTATGGGAAAGTGTTTAAAGACCTATTAAAACCACATGAAAAATAGGGTATCATAGTTATCATCAGATGCTCCTTCTATTCAACCATTCCCATTGGCAAAGTAGTATTGCATAATTTGTTCCGTTTAAAACAAAAACGCGCAAACAAAATCTTTTCTCCTGACTCTATCTTCCAATTACTGAGATAGTTTCTGCTCCCTTTTAATAGTAAAACTTCTCCAAAGAGTTAATTTTGGTGACTCTTTCTAATTCTCTCTACCCAAATCTCTCTTGAGCCCACTCTGACCAGACTTCCCCACTCCCAGCACCCCACTGGAACTGCTCTTGGCAGAGTCACCAACAACCCACGCTGGTGAAGCCCATGGTTATTTCTCAGTCCTTGCCTTACTTCATGCCACAGCTGATTGCCGCTTCCCCTTGAAACAATGGCTTTACTTGGCTTCAACCAACCCCCATGACTGTCTTCTAGTTCTTGTCAGTGACAAACAAAATACTGTCAAACATGGCATGTGTGCATACTTACAGTATAAAGAATATGTCAATGGAATAAACTTTGGTCAGGTCAGGGAACATTTTAAGTCCAGTGTTGAAAATGCCACTAAATTAATGAAAAAAAAGAAAAGGATAGAATTTAGGTAAGAAAATCAACACATAGGAAGGAGAATAAGGTAATAGCTGAAAGCATGGGTTCTGAAGTCAGCCTGGAATCAAAACCCCAATTCCTTCACTAAATAGGTGAGTGACTGTGGGCAAGTTTTGATGGTTGGATGAGATGATGTTTCCTCAAGGCACAATAATTAAATCCAGTCCACTGGTGTCAATGCTTCTGCTTGGCTTAGAATACTCTGGAGATTGTTTTAACCAAGTGGGATTACTAAAAATATAAATTCAGTTTTCGTGTGTGTGTGTGTGTGTGTGTGTGTGTGTGTGTGTGTATGGGTGAGAGAGAGAGAGATTTTCTTGCTTATTTGGAGAAAATTATGTGTGTGTTAGTGAAGGGCTAAGAAAAGGATGGGACAGGAAGATATGATGACGTTAAACCAGCCTCTTCTTTCAAGCTCTACATTATATTGTGCTGTTATTTTGCCAAGAACAGCTTTCCTACAGCAGTGACCTGAGAGTACCATTATAGCAGTACCATTTAAAAAATATGTACAGAGGGGCTGAGCATGGTGGCTCACACCTGTAATCCCAGCACTTTGGGAGGCCTGAGACTACGGGATCACCTGAGATCAGGAGTTCAAGACCAGCCTGGCCAACATAGTAAAACCCTATCTCTACTAAAAATACAAAAATCAGCCGGGTTTGGTGGTGCAAACCTGCAATCCCAGCTACTTGGGAGCCTTAGGAAGGAGAATCACTTGAACTTGGGAGGTGAAGTTTGTGGTAAGCCAAGATTGTGCTACTGCACTCCAGGCTGGCAACAAAAGCAAAACTCAGCCTCACAAAAGAAAAAAAAATGTCCAGAGGGCCGAGCACAGTGGCTCATACCTGTAATTCCAACACTTTGGGAGGCCAAGGTGGGTGGATTACTTGAGGCCAGGAATTCAAGACTAGCCTGGCCAACATGGCAAAACCCTGTCTCTACTAAAAATACAAAAATTAGCTGGGTGTGGTGGCATGTGCCTATAATCCCAGCTACTTGGGAGGCTGAGGCATGAGAATCACTTGAATCTGGGAGGCAGAGGCTGCAGTGAGCCAAGATCATGTCACTGCACTCCAGCCTGGGTGACAGAGCGAGACTGTCTTAAAAAAAAAAAAGTGTCCAGAAGAGGAAGAAACCAATCAAAGACAATGTCTTCACCTTCTGAAGTTTATATCATTTAGGGAAAAATGTTAAGATTAAAAGGCATGCATAAAACACCATAAGCACAAGAATTCTTAGGCTCCTGATGCCTCCCAGATTTAGTTGGCTTAACATTCGTTGCAGCTACTAGAATGTAGTTAGAATTTTTTATTGAGAATGTGGCATGGCATAGAGTGAGACCTAGACATTACCCAGTAAAGCTTTAGAGAAAGTCTTCTGGTAGAGAAACTATATACACCTTCTGAGGCAAATTTAGACTTGACTCCTTCTAGAGAAGAAGACATAGGATTTGAAGAGGCAGCAGGAGCGTGAGGTCTCAAAATGAGCAAATGGGAGGGACATTTCAGGTAGCAAAGGAGAGAGATGAGGTTCCATAAGGTATATTTGAAATACAGTAAACAAACTAGTTCAATCGCAATAGAGGTCATGATGAAGAGTAGGGGCAAAAAGGTCCGAGAGTCAAGTATTTAGACCAAGACCTTTCTATTCTTCAAAAACCTCAAACAAATCCCCTAAAAGCATCCTATGGGTCTTCTTTTTGATGTCTTCTCTAATTACCTGAACCCCCAAACACTGTATATGTCTCTCCTTTGTCACTGTCCTTTATTCTTCTGTAGGAGAGGCACTATTCAATTTCATATACATCTCTACAACTAGATTTTAAGCTTCTTGCAGGCAAGGACAATGTCTTGGAAACCTGTGTGTTCCCCACAGAGCATATACTGGGGGATCATCACATCAAAGGGTTATTATATTATTTGAAACTCAGAGTCCATAAAAAGAGTGGTTGTCTTGTTCTGTAAGTTTTCATGGCTTTCCAGATATCCTTTCATCTTCATATCCCATCAGTGTCTTTTATTCTCCTGGCATCTCTCATACCCACCTCTTCAATATGCAACTAATGTCTGTGTGCGGTGGCTCACACCTGTAGTCTCAGCACTTTGGGAGGCTGAGGCAGGTGGGTCAGCCGAGGTCAGGAGTTCAAGATCAGCCTGGCCAACATGGTGAAACCCTGTCTGTACTAAAAATACAAAAATTGGTTGGACATGGTGGTGCACACCTGTAATCCTAGCTTCTCGGGAGGCTGAGGCAGGACAATCACTTGAACCCAGGAGGCAGAGGTTGCAGTGAGCCAAGATTGCACCACTGCACTCCAGCCTGGGTAACAGAGCAAGACTCCATTTCCAATATATATATATATATATATATATATATATATATATATATATATGCAACTATTTTTAGTTCCCCAAAGAAGCTGTGTGGTTCCCTACCTTTGGGTCTTTATCATGCTATTCCACCAGCTATATTTCTTTTCTATCTCTCCCCATTCTTGTTCAGGATACCCTCTATTCATCCTTAAAGGCTTATCTCAGAAAATATCTATGATTACATAAGTTTGTTTTAAAGGTCTGGATGAAGATGAACTGAAATGTTAATAGTCCTTATTTTGGGGTATTGGGATTAAGTTTTTAAAAAAGTTTCTTCTACATACTGTTTTTGTTTTCTAATTTTTTTAATGCATGCAAGCAGAAAAAAGGACTCTTCCACCTGGTGTCCGGAGGGCCTGAGGTCATGCAGACATGTGCACTGAACATATTTTTACTGAGCACCTACTCTGTACAAGGCAGTAAAGATTCAATAGAGAAAAAAAAATATTGTGGTCCCTGGATTCATGGAGCTTATGGTCAGCTCATAAGATGTTACCAAAGCCAAGCAGTGAGTGCTGGACAGTTGAGTGCCAGAGTAAGAGGTTGAAACTGTTATCCCTTCTTTTTTTCCTCCACCACCCACAAAAGTGCATTTTACCCTTTGTGGGGTTTTTTTCCCCCTGTGTAACAGTCACTCATATTGTTGTGATACCCATTTTCAAACAAAATTGACCAACCGGCTCTCAGAATTTTGTTTTGTTTTGTTCTGAGATACTACATTTGAGGACCACAGGTACATGATAGCATTTCCTCCCTCCTGTTTCTTGGAGTGGGTTTCTGGTCTAGGCACTATGTGCTGACTTTTGAATAGGTTTTAAAAAACATGAGTGATTTCACCGGATACCTTGCCCTGACCCAGGATGTACACCGTTAAAGTGAACCTGGACCACATCATCCTAGGGAGAGTCCCGGAAGACAACAGCATGAAAATCTGACCCCCTCCCCCCCAAAAAAAGTAGGATGGGAGAGGATTTAATACTTACAGAAACTTTAGGAGGGGGAGCTCTTTGAGGGCATCAGGGTCTATGTAAGTTAAGCTCCTGGCGTTCCGAATTTCTCTGCGTAAGTTACAAGGAACACAGACACTATAATACAGCTGTATCTGTTCTTATCAAAGGCAAAACAACATAAATCGGGTTTAACAAATGTTCATGAGAAAAATATACATTTATGTGGTACCACAGGGACTGTAGTTGCCAGGAGTCCCATCAACAACAAACCAATCCTGTCTCCTCACCGGGACCCTAGTGGCTAGTCAGTTCTCTTGTGACGTTGGCTTGGTTTTCATCCATTTGAATGTATGAGCTACATTTCTCTTAATTGTAGTATGAGTTTTTTTTTTTCTTTTAGATTTAGAGAAAAAAGAAAAAAACCTCTAATGATTTGGTGAGGAGTTGAAGACAAATATCTTTATTATTTGTAAGTATTTTGTCCAAGACAATGAGTGTTGGAGTGGAAGGCTGAGGGAATTTTATGATGAACGACAGCAATAGCAAGATGGGAAGTGAGGTTCTGTCATTGCTATACTAGATATAGAGAAATAGTAAGTCTTCACAGTTCCTTGGGTTTATTTTGTCATGTCAGCAATTTAAGACTTTTCTGCATGTATGGTATGATATCGTGTGTCAGTAACTTACATTCTTAGGTTTATATAAATGCTGATCAAGAATGCACAGTTAGAAAAATGATTGTTAGATACAAACTCTCACTGGTTAAATTAAACATATTCAACATAGGTAAATTGCGTGAAAGAGTTTAAAGGCATTCCCTGTGCTTACATGAAAAGTATATAAGAACCCAGTAAACCTTTAGTATTTCTCCTTAGGAATGACACCTAAAGGAACCAGCATCCAGTCACTGGTGGTGCCAGTCAGAAAGCTCAGAATGTGACCTCTGTAATTGTTTAAAGGTTTTATTGGGAAATAGTTTACATCTCATAAATTTCAAACATTGTATGTAGGCATACGGTTCAATGATTTTTTAGTAACGTAACTGTGAAACCGTCACCACAGGTTAGAACGTTTCTATCAATGATAAAAGTAACCATGGGCTCATTTGCCAACAGTCTCCACTAGCTCCTTTATGCCTACAAACCATGGATCAGTTTTCTATCTTTATAAATTTGCCTTATCTGGACATTTTACATAAATGGATCATATAACAGGCAGTCTTTTGTGTCTGCCTTCTTTCACTTAGAATAATGTCTGTGAGGTTCATCCATGTTGTAATATCAATTAGGAGTTCACTCCGTTTTATTTCTGAATAGCCGGATGGACTTGAGATAGAATCCTGGCTCTGCCACTTCTAATTACATGAACTTGGACAAGTTTCTTGGCCTCTTTGAGCCATAGTTTCTGTGTCTGCAAAATAGGAACAATTAACAGCATCTCTTTCATGGGGCTCTTGTGAGGACTGAATGATATTCACGAGGGATTTTATGTGTGACCTTCACATAGCGAGGGCTCTGTAAATAACGTTTTTATTATTGTTATTTTCATAAGTGCAGTGAAAGCTAGAACAGACATCAGGGACTTGGGGTTGGCGATATTGTGACATTCTTGCAAAATTAGAAAAAACCTTCTGGTTTAGGTATTTCAATTAAGGACACTGAATATGAAATAGACCTTGGGAAAAAAAGGATGGCGTTAACTCTAAGAACAGAAATCAGCTACCTCTATCCTCCCTACACACGCAGCTTACTGTCTATAATAATATACCCTTACTGGTCCATCAACATAACTTCTTCATTAACATAACTACTATTCCAGGAGACTTCATTAACATAACTACTATTCCAGGAGTCTTCATTAACATAACTACTATTCCAAGAGACTCTTGCCCAGACAAATCACTTTATTGTTCATTACAGAGAGTTTTTGAAACAAAGAACCATCAATGCTTCAACAGAAAGCATCAACAGTTTATTCCCCAAGATCTTAGAACTCCTTACTTCGAAATCCTCACTATGCTAATCTTAAACTATTATGTCATGATTTTTACCCAACCAAGACCCTGCATGGAAAGACCCTCTTTATACAATCTTTCGTTTTGTGTCCTGGCTTTAAAATGCAAAGCACATATCCTTGGAATTCCGTCTGTCCTGGGCAAAGTGTGACAGCTGGCCACCCTACTCCAAAATCATAATTTTCCCACCTTGCCCCTCTAGGGACTAGCAGTCTCTGTTGAGGTGGTCCTCTCTTTCCAGGGTGAGCAATAAACTCCTTGCTGGAGCTTTCCATTGGGGGAGGAAGGTTTGAGCTTCTGTCAGAGACAAACAAATGTAAACTAGGTTCATGAGTTTGGAAACTGAGTGGGGTTTGCAGTCTGGAAAATTGCTCCACAGGAGACTATTGTTGAACAAGTAATCTTGAGTGAGTGGTCCGAGAGAACGTCACAATGAAAGAAAATGTAGCCCACCTGGGTCAGCTGAAAAGGTAACGAGTAAAAGGAAAACGAAATGCAGGTGCTAGTAACAGTTGATTAAATGAAGCTGGCAACTTACACGGATGCTGGAAGAGAAATGTGGGAGAGGCCGCAGGGAGAGAGAAGGAAACACGGAAGAGGAGATGGCTTTCTGGAAGGAAAGGTAAGAGCCAGAAAGGAGAAAGATGAATGAGAGTCCCGAAAGAGAACACCAGGGGAAAGAAGCTGCTTTCTGAGGTAAGGCAGCAGCTCACCACTTGCTCACAGTGGTCTATGACCATTTAGCTAAACTCTTGACGTTTGAAAAGTCTCTCTGGAAGTAGAGGTGGAGGGGTGGAGTGGTCGTAGACTGCCAGTAGTTTAGCTAAATGGGAAGAGAACAGCCAGGCACAGGGTGGCTCATGCTTGTGAGCACTCTGGGAGGTTGAGGCGGGTGGATCACTTGAGGTCTGGAGTTCAACATGGTGAAACCCCGTCTCTACTAAAAATGCAAAAATTAGCCTGGCGTGGTGGTGTATGTCTGTAATGCCAGCTATTCGGGAGGCTGAGACACGAGAATCACTTGAACATGGGAGGCGGAGGTTGCAGTGAGCTGAGATTGTGTCACTGCACTCCAGCTTGGGCGACAAAGCAAGACTCTGTCTCAATCAATCAATCAATAGACAGAGGTAACACAAGAAGCAAATGCAGCTAGTAAAATCTTTTCAAAGATAGGAAAAAAGAAAGGGCAGAAAAAGTGAGTACAAAAGAACATCTAATCAGAGAAGGGAGAAAGAGGCATCCAAATTTGAATGTCTTCAAGCATGCCTACGAAGGTAAATTTGAGCCACACTGTTTTGAGTTAAGCAGTCATTTATGACCTGAATGTGCAGGAGGCTAACTAAGCTGCCAGAAAGCTGGAAGAAAGAAAAGCTGTATGTCATTCAGCACACTAGGAATGGAGATGCCCTTCAGAGCTGAAGATGGCTGTGCCTCCAGTAGCCTGGGGCCCTGAGTGACTGCCTGAATGTGGCTGCTCTGTGCTCCCACTCATCCATCCAGTACTGTCCCATGAGGAAGAAGTAAACCTTACTCAGGGCTGTTACATGTCTGTATTTTTGTCTGTTTCTTATAGTAATTCACCTATCCAAACTAATAAGCATAAATACAATTGTGAAAATAGAGAGTGCTCAGTTCACTAGTGGTCATGTCTAGTAGACAGGTTTAAAAAAAGGAATGTATGATTTTTCTCTATTTTATCTCAATCAAAAAAAGTAATAAAGGGAATGCAAAAAATCTCAAACTTTAAAAACGAAAAAAGTAAAGCTTATATATTCCATGTAAAAAAGAACATTAAAATATGTACCGGATAGGCTGCTTAAGTATGCTCTTGTATGGAGCTAGGCTGTTTTATGGAGCTAGGCTGTTTTGCTTTGTTGGGGAAATACGCAAGGTTCTTAAAGCATATTGATTAGAAAAATTCAGCTTTGGTAGAGGGTCTGGCTCTGTATCCCCACCCGAATCTCATCTTGAATTGTAATCCAAATTGTAATCCCCACATGTTGGGGGAGGGACCTCATAGGAGGTGATTACATCATTGGGTGGTTCCTTCATGCTGTTCTTGTGATAGTGAGTGAGTTCTCATGACTGATGATTTTATAAGTTCTTCCCCACTTTGCTCTACATGTCTTTCCTGCCGCCACATGAGAAATGACGTATTTGCTTTCCCTTCCACCATGATTGTAAGTTTCTTGAAGCCTCCCCAGCCATGTAGAACTGTGAGTCAATTAAGCCTCTTTCCTTTATAAATTACCCAGTCTCAGGTATTTCTTCCTAGCAGCATGAATGCAAACTAATTCAGAAGATTGAAGGGTAAAAAGAAACTGTGCTTTTTTTTCACCTGGGGAGGATGTGAATTCCCTCCTAGTAACGTAATGACATAACTGACTCATGTGATGCAGGTAAGGACCGTCTTGATTTTGCAGACAAAACTATGGAGACATGTTTTGAAAGGGCAAGTGACTAATCTCCTCCTATACACTTAGAGGCAGCACTGGGCCTTTAGGACTTATAACTTCAAATACAGCCCTTATTTTTTTAAGGAGATCATCCACCAGAACTAAAAATATATGTAAATATTCATGTCTAATTCTCCTTCATTAGATTTCAAATAAAATAAACATTTAGATGAAAAGTGTAACATTGAGGTCCAATGTACAGTTTTCACAAATCACATCAATAATTCAGCATGCATTAGATTCACTTAATCATATGCCTATATTCTGAATTTTTTTTCTTCCTCTGGGAAACATTTATTAATTCTCAATAAAAGCCTAGCACAGGGCAATTGGCTTGCCAGTTACAACCAGCATTGTGGCAGGCACTCAAAACCTGTGTCCATACCTCAAACAGTATGAGAAATCAGCAGGGTGAGAGAGGGGAGTTTTCAGGTGAGGGAATGAAGAACAGAAGAAGGGGAAAAGAAGACGTAAAGTCTTCCTTTAAGGGACTTTCCAGCCACTGATTTCCTTCCATTTTCCTAGTGTTCCCCACAGTTATTCAACAGGCACTGGATCGTGGCATTTGACTGTGCTCTTCACCCTTGGAGATAATTTCCCCACACCCTAAACTGCCCCAGTTCATGAGTGAGAAGCAG